TGTTGTGTTTTGTTTGAAGAATTTAGCAGATGTCCAGCAGAAAGAAGCACAATGAACGAAGTCAGTCCTTCTTTAGAGGTATTTTACTTGAGATGATAAGCAGTAGTAGTAGAAAATAACAGTAGATATACAGCAGTTAACAGCAAACGAACACTCCTACACACGTAACTCTTCACCAACATTAACCCACACCAAGTACTGGCGTTTTTGCCTTATATACAATGTCTCTTATCAGCTACAGCTGTGATGTCTTGCAGCTGTTCTTTTAGTAAGTCTTTCCAGAATCTCAGGGAACAAATGCCGGTTTAACCATACCACGGTCTTGCAACAGCTCCAAGAGTATTCACCAAGTGCATGGCACCAGTAGCTGCTTATCTCAGGTTGCAAAAAATGCTCCTCGTAGCTCATTCCCGGCGCAAAGTCCAATGAGACACTCACTTCACCCTTACCCTCCTTCGCAATCTCAGTTAATGAACAAAAATCAAATTTGAAACCTATGAAGATTATTCATTATATAGGCCCATGCATAGATTCCACACAAACTTGTGCCTTTCTTCCTCCGGACAAGAGAGAAAATTTCATCGCATTACTTCAAGTTTTCACCCCTCATGCTATGGTACCCACCTTGACTGTGCAATGTGTACTAGGCACCATGGCCTCTATGACTTCAAATGTACAGTGGCATGTACGTCTTAAGATGAGAACTCTTCAGTTGTGGTTTCTCGCCCTCTTCGACCTGCTCAAAAACTCTCCTCACACTCTTTTAAGAGTCACCCCAGAACTCACCTCCCTACTTCATTGGTGGCGTTTTCATCCCAGCCTATCCGTTGGGCGGCTGTTCCGACAACCATGACCACAAATACAGGTCACCACCGACACCAGCCTCACAGGCTGGTGAGCTCACTGCAAATCTCTCAAAATCCACGCCAAGTAGTCTTCCACGGAGAAATTGCTTCACATCAACGAATTAGAGCTGTTGGCAGTTATAAAAGCTTGCAAAGCTTCCAGAAATCTCCTTGCTGGCAAGATGGTACAAATTGCCACCAACAACACCATGGCGATGTACTCCTCTATTTAGCAGTCGACCTCTGGGAGTGGTGCCTAGCACATCACATCTGCCTCACATCTCTACACATTGCTGGCCACGACAACGACTTGGTCAATCTACTCAGCTGCACAAACTCTCAAGCTCATGAATGGGAGTTAGGCCAATCAGTTTTTCTTTGCCTATGCAAACGATGGGGCAAACGAACTCTCAATCTCTTTGCCTCCCATGTGAATTGGAAGTACAAACGTTACAGCTCCTGAGCTGGCATTGGCAAACACTCCCAAGCAGATGCATTTGTTGGCCGATGGCCCAAGACTCTCACTTATCTTTTTCTGCTGTTATTGCTTCTCCACAAGGTCGTGGTTCGGCTACAACAAGACAAACCCAATGGTATCATTATAGCCCTTTGGTGGCCAAGACAACGCTGGTTTCCATCCTTCACAATCTCTCATCAGATATTCACCACATCCCTCACCTGCCCTACCTCCTCACGCAGAACAACGCCCAATTACTCCACCCAGACTTACCTATTCTGCACCTGGCAGTGTGGAGAATTCCGCCTCGCTAATGAACATCCTCCGTCTATCAAAGAAGCACTCCACTAGAAAGGCTTACCTGTATAAATGGAACAGATTTAAATCTTTCACTGAAACTTCTTCATTGCCTTCTATCAACTCATCACTTGCTACTGTTCTACGTTTTTTTGCTTCATCTCAAGTCTAGCGACCTGTCCCTCTCTTCCTTGAGAGTTTACCTCTCTGCCATAGTTTCTTATCAGCCCCCTAACTCTGTGGCAGCTGATTTCTTCAAGCATCCAACATTGAAACATTTTCTTAAAGGTCTGTCTCATATCTACCCAGATACCCGCCCGCCTTCCCCGCAATGGTCACTAACACTAGTACTGCAGCAACTTACTAATGCTCCTTTTGAACCTTTAGCTTAAACTGATTTATGGCTACTTACCTTTAAAACAGTTTTCCTCGTCGCCATCACCTCAGCTCGATGAGCTAATGATTTAGCAGCCTTATGTCACGACTATCCCTATTTCCATTTTTTTTCTGGACCAAGTCAAACTATCCATAGATATTTATTTCCTCCTCAAAGTCGTATCTCAATTCCATCTCTCTCAGCCATTTATCCTTCCTTCCTTCTTCCCGTCACTGTCCACAACTCAGTAAAGACTCCTCCATAATTTAAATGTTAGGCGAGCCCTTGCCTTTTATGTCCAATGCACCCAACCTTTCAGGCGTTCACCTTGACTTTTCATAAGTCACCAACCACCTACTAAAAGTCACCAGGTGACATCTCAAACTATATCTAGATGGGTCGCTTCAACCATTCACCTCGCGTATCAGCTGGCACGCAAATCAATCCCGAAGCTGATTCGCCCTCACTCCAGCAGAACAGTGGCGACCTCTACAGCACTCCTATGTGGCGTACCTCTTCCAGATGTCTGCGCGTCTGCCACCTGGGCACAGCCATCCACTTTCATCCAGCATTATAGACTTGATCTCGTCCCGAAGCTGATTCGCCCTCACTCTAGCAGAACAGTGGCGACCTCTATGGCACTCCTATGCGGCGTACCTCTTCCAGATGTCTGCGTGTCTGCCACCTGGGCACAGCCATCCACTTTCATCCAGCATTATAGACTTGATCTCTGGCAGAAGTCTGATGCAGCCTTTGGACATGCTGTTTTAGCCTCTACTTTGGCGTGACCCCCTGCCTCCAGGTAAGACAGATTTTTAGTCCCCCAGGGTGTGATTTACAGAGGCCATGAAGAAGAAAGACAGGTTAGCCACTTGTAATTGTAGTCCTTCGAGTGGACCTCTGTGATTCACACATCCCACCCATCCTCCCCACTGTCACACCATTCTGCTTAATGTAGCTGTGGTTGACACAACTGAAAGGGGAGCCTTGGCACCAAGGTACTTATACAAGGGGGGAGGGGGCTTATTTTTGATACTGCAGAAGCTCTAGAACTTTCCAATGAGGCTCCGCGCAGGTGCAGATCACCCAGGGTGTGAAGCACAGAGAGGTCCACTCGAAGAACTACGATTACAGGTGGGTAACCTGTCGATCTTCAAGATGTGAGAAAAATTTGAACCCAGTTTTCATTATTGACCCCATTGCTGATGCCTTCATTTTATTCTTATCACAACTGCCTCTTTCTCTGTTCAGGTGAAGAATCCACCACCAGCTTCACAGATCAAAAGGAAGAAGGTTCTGACAGCCAGGATGCAGATATGCAGGTAAATATGGACACAAATTCACTGGATTGGAAAGAAAATTGGCTTACCTGAGGAATAGTTAGTGACTTAAAAAAATTATTGACCACCATGTAAACCTCCTCAGGAACTGAGAACTGTTTTACGCCAGAGGACTGTTTTTCCTTCTTGATAGCCTTCCAGGGGATCTTATGATGTAGATCAATATTTATACTGATTTATTGACGCTGCTGTCAGCTTATTGCTTGACACTTGTTGCTGGTTGCTCCGAGACATAACGGGTGTACAGGCGCTGCCTATCAGAAAGATTTATATTGTTTTACTTATATTTCCATAGGGAGTTAACAAAATTGGAAGCAACATTTCTGAAGCTTCAGTTGTGTCTCCAAAAGAAAGCATTAAACATGAAATATCTGAGGTAGGTCATTGAAAATAATATTTTATTTTTAGCATTTTCTTGCTGCCGTTGGACTTCTAAATTTACAGTAAGGAGAGATGTTTCAGTGGTGATCAGCAAAAAAGAGAAGAACAATATGAAGCTGGTGGCACAGATGGACTATCTGCTTTCTATTGGTATTAATTGCCATTGCCATTGATTATATCAGATTGCAGTGCTGTAGAACATGCATTTGATGTATTGGTGCTTCAGTAAAGCAGACTGGATTTTTTTAAAAAGAGGCTGAAAATCTTTTGTCCTAGTAAGCCTCAGACCAGCCTAACTTTTTACCTTTGGATTCACAGAGCCACTTTGCTAAAATGAGCCCATGTTGATGAATAACACAGATTCAAGCACTCTGATACCAGAAAACTTTTATTGCACTCAGAACAACTCTGCAGTCATTTTGATACTCACAAAGAAGAGATATTTCTATGTTTCTTGATGGTCACGATTTCCATCATTCTTAGGTGTATTTCTGTTTCATAGTTAAGTCTGTTTTAAAAACTTGTCCAACATAAAATGTTGCCTCTAATTGTATTTATCATCCACATCGAACAATTCCATGGTTTCTTTCTCCATCTGGAAAAATATATATTACTTGACCAGATGTTAAAACAAAACCTCTTGCTTCATTAGTGCTTGAGCGCTCGTCACAATATTGTATTTTCTGTGATGCCTTCTGTATGTAGACCAATCTGTTCATATCCAGTGAATTGAGGTTTACACCTGTGAACTGCTGTGGGAAATGAGAAAATCCCCAGCCTTTCTACCAGTCTTGGGAATGCAGAGTTGTCCCAGGGGTTACACAGTGTTCCCCAGGGTTTTTATTATTATTATTATTACCGGTATTTTATTTTTTTGTCTCTGAGATTGTGAGGAGGATAAGGGATTGCTTGACCTCCACAAAGTGCCTTGGCAGAAGTAAAAAAAATTGGATCTCTAAATATCCTTATTCTAAATATCCTTATTTCCCTTCACAGTATTCTCAGTATTCTTCCCAGTTTTGTTTATCCAGTTCTTTCTCTCTTTCTGCTGCTTTGCATGCCAAAGGGAAGATGAATTCTCATTTGTTCACCGCATATCTCCATCACTGATTCTACAAAGTACATCTGAAAACACAGAGCATCGCATTTCTGACAGTGGTCTTGGCACTTCAGATGTTCTTAATGTTTGTAGTACCATTTGGCTGTCAAGTCCAACAGCTGCTGTTTTTAAATCCCCCTTTTATACTGTTCCATGTTCCTTTAAAGACAACTACTTTCAAGAAGCTGTCATTTTCTACATAGTTTTATTATGTATTCTTTTCTCCTTGTTTGTTGGTTCCTGTCTTTCACAGTTCCTTCATTTTTCCTCTTTCTTCATATCTTTTCACTTGAGTGATGAAGACTTCATAGCTTCATGAATTCAGTTTGTGCCATCTGCAAGTGAGCTCTTTGCACCAACATACTTGTTTTTTTTCATGTGTATTGTGTCGTCGTATTTTCATATCAGGTTATACGTATGTTGTGTTTTTATATATAATTTGTAATGTGACTGTTCTTCTCAATATAGTGTTTATATTTTATAGTATTTTGATTCCACTGGAATTGTTTCTGAATCTTGCCTTGAGTATATGGGAAGATAATCAGATTAAACTCCAGAAAAGACTGGCTTTCCTTCAAATGTAGCGCCAATTTGCTGCTGTGACTATGTTTGATATCTTTTTTTTAGTGCCAGGATTCTGTATTCATTATCACTTAATTCTTTTTCCCATCCCCATCTAAGAGATTTCTCACTAATCTCTTCAATTTGTGTAGTGTTAATGTAAGTGTTCTAGCCTGATGTAATGTCCTCAGATTTTGTGTTCAAACAGATGTTATGTACTTCAAATTCATCACATAAAGCTCTCTCCCTCTTGCCCTTTCTCTTCAAATTTCATTCCATGGCTCACTTCTAAAGTAGATAATACATCTGTTATTTTTGACCCAAACAGCATGGAGTTTTTTTCCTTTATATTTTAGTTTTTTACCTGATCATCTGTGGCATGTCTTGAAGGAATTTGAATGTACTTTTTGAAGATACTGCTTCCCAAAAATATAATACTTGCAATCCAACACTGAAAGTCTGCCAACTGAGTGGGTATAGGTTTGAGTGTTGTCCTGCAAAGTTGGTAGAAGTTATGCCAATACTGATAGGCAGATAGGCCAACACTGTGACAAATATACTGACAGAATATCTCAAATGCTACAGTAGAGCCTCGTGGCGCAGTGGTTAAACCGCTGTACTGCAGCCAAAACTGTGCTCCCGACCTGGGGTTCAATCCCAGGTAGCCGGCTCAAGGTTGACTCAGCCATCTATCCTTCCAGGGGCGGTAAAATGAGTACCCAGCTCGCTGGGGGGGGGGGCAATGTGCAGCCTGCATAATTAACTTGTAAACCGGCCAGAGAGTGCTTGAAGCACTATGGGGCGGTATATAAGCAGCACACTTTTTTTTTTTGCTTTAGAGCTGCTGATAAAGGGTAAAGACATGAGTGAGATATTAGCAGCAGAAGGAAAAAAATATAATGATGTTTATCCTGTACCATCATACACTCCTGACAAGTGTAACTTCCTACTAGCACCAGACATAGAATAGGAAACTTCTGTCCCATTGCATCTATGTCCGTTGTGCAGGTAACAGAGGTATCTTTTAAAAAAGGTGAAAAATGGCTACACTCAGGTTCTAGAGGAGCCTGGACTATTTGTTAGTTTTCACATTTTTATCAGCAACTTTTAATGTGAGCTGTCACAAAAGAACATCAGCATGGTATGAATTTTTTACTGTACAAATATTCTTTTCGTACTGCACTTTCTGTTTCTCAGAAAATGAATGTGATCATGTCACAGAGCTATCTAGTAACTCTGGTGGCCTAGGCACTCTGTCTACCAAGACATATAGGCTTGACCTCTGAGAATTTATACCAAACTTCTCCTCTGTTCTTTCTCAGTTAGCAAGCTTGTTGTTTGGACAGTGTATTTCTGTTTGCACCTGCAATACTCAACTATTACACTCACTCCACTCACTCCATGCATTATCTTTTGTATATGATTAATAAATGAAGAGGGTGGGTGAACTTGCTTGATTAGCTTGCAAATTACTACTAGTCACCTTCTGAATTTCCACCTAATGAGAAACCAAACCTTTATTCACTCATCTTCTTTGGTGGTGGTGGGACTACAAGTTCTTTCCCTGGCTCTGTTAATTATGCAGTCTTGGCTTACTCTTTCTTTCCCCCACCCCCAGCATTTCTACCCCAGTGTTTTCCTTGATACTATTTGGACTGAAACATTTGCTTTCTGTAAGGGAAGAATTTTAAAGAACTTGCATAATAGATAGTAAATTCCACATTTTCTGCACCTAGCGTGGCTGCAAATGTTTAAATCAAAGAAGTACTATACTTGTATTCATAATGTTTCAGTGTACTCATGCCATCAAGGTAGGACTTTGGAGCAGAGACACCCATTCAGCACAATGAATAGAAGAGCCCCAAAATACAGTAGACTGATTTACCATGTTTGGAAAGTATTAACATTGCTGTACCATCTTGCTGTATTAACATTTCTTCCCCCCCCCTCCGCTCTTTATGTTGATGTCAAACACTATTATAAAATGAGATTAGGTTTAGTAGGATTTATGCATTTCTTGCTTGCTTGCTGTTTCTTAATTGCAGAAAGAGGGATTGATTGCTCAGTCTTCATTAGAACTGCCATTAGACAAAAGCAAAGATTTGAAAACCACTGAGACACCATCCACTGTTGGGCTTGAGAGAGAAGCTTTCCATCCTGTGTACAGAGGAGCAGTAAATGCTTTTTGTATTCAGCTCTTTTGTATTGATGAGAAACATGAAACTAGGCAAGTACAGCAGAGAATTGAATTAGCTGATTTTGTATCAATCTAAATGTAGCAATGCAGCTATGTTCTTAGTTTTCTGGTCCCTTAGTATATATCAGATTATTTATTCATTTATTTGAAATACTTATGTCAAGGAAGTATGAGATTAACATGTTTTAATATCACGATAAGTAATACTTCTAAAAAAATATGATTTATAAGTGAGCCAATATTCTGGGGCAAATTGCTTGATTGTTCCCACTTGGTTCTTCCTGCAAGTGGGGGTAGCTGTCAGAAACAGACCTGTCACCTGTGGTTTGACATAATGCTGTGCATACTGGGAACTCATGGTTTCAGACTCTGCCTTACTGAAGGAGAGACAAGCCAGAGTGACTGTGGATGGAAGGGCAAGGATTTTTTTCAACCCCAGCTACTTATAGGAAGAACCAATGGTCCAGCAGCACACATCATTCTAGTTTATTCATAATAAGATGAAATTCTTTTGAATTCTGGCTTAATTTGACATGTAAATATGCCCAATTTCTCATAATCTTTTGGATAAGTTACATTAAATATATTTTCTTAAATATTAAAATACCAAGTTGTCATAATGTCATTGAAATCAGCTACAGAAAGAGGGACAGCTCAAAAGCTTTTTCTGTTTGAAATGTTTTTCTAATGATGTCTAGAAATCAGGACTCCCTATGTAAGAGGTTAATTGGTGTAGGGCCATTAGAGAGAATGCCAGGTTCCCAACCTCAGTGATTATTTTCCCTCTAATGGGGGAATCAAAAATATACATAATCTGTAGATATATAGGAGAGTTTTTGGAAGAAAACACTATTACAAGTCAAAATGATTCAAGAAGTGCTAAAAAGCATACAACTGATATTATTAAATCACTGAATTCTGTTGTGTATAAAAATCATGTACACAAAAAATCATCCATAATAAACTGTAAGTTTACAGTGTTTGAATGCTATTAGACAATTACACTCATATAGCATTCAACAGCTGAAAAGATTGCATGTGATATTGGAAGAAAAGGGATTTTTTACACATTTGCTCGGAAGTAGATGCAACACTGGCCTTATGATGGGGACAACCTCCTTTGTCTGTCAAACCCATTCAATCTGATGGGAAACGGCAGGGTTCACACACACATACACCAATTTGCCTCAGAAACCTATTTCAAAATATGTTACATCTACCCAAAACTTAATCAGTTTTCTAAAACAAAACAAATGTTCATATACTCCTGGCAGAATCAAACTCTGGAACAAGAGCATCCAGTGAAAAGAGGCATCTTCTTCCCATTGCAGCCTCATTCCAAGGCATCCTAAAACCTGTTCCTAAAGTAACTCTTCAGAGCCATTTCTTTGGCAATTTCTAAGTCTGTGTGAGGGTGAAGAAGGACAGAGGTCCTGATACACATAATGTATAGTGAATATGGAATTTGAAAGGGTACATCTGACTTGGTATGTGTTGCATTGTGCTGCACTCAAGAAAGACAAATTCTCCTGCATAGTGAATTTATATATTTGCCTTTGATTAATAATGCTGTTTGTTGGTTTGATTGCTGGTTTGATTAGCTTTTGAGGAAAAGGAAGAAATGATGTAGCTAACATAAATGCTACAAACTGTAAATTCTGGTTTTGTTTTTGTTTGTTTTGTTAAAAAGTATTTCATTTTTATCTGCAGGTCATTGGATTTCTTGAATTTTGTATTCAACCTTTTCCCTGTAAGTATGTGCAATGTAATTAATGAGTAGAAAGCATTTTGGAAAAGATTGTTCTTGCTCAGTTTCAGTCGAATTTGTTTTGCAGAAAAATGGTCAGATACTTTTGAGGTAATTGTAAGGATTTTCTGGGGGGGCGGTTAGGCGGAGTTGGATTGTAGGTGGCCTCAACAAAGAAGGCATTTAATTTTATTTACTGGTTGATTTGATGGCCATAATTCTGTTATCACCCTTCTGCCTTGTGCTCAAAGGCCTTCATTTCGAATTGTTGACAGTCTGTGGAACTTCTCAGAGCTTCTAGGAAGAATATAAGACTCCCAGGAGGAAACTAGTTGCCCACTCTAAGTTACTTTCTCTAACATAACACTGTAAAAAGTTCTGACAAAGTACAGACCTAAACAATTCTGCCTTCAGACATCTTCCTACCACATCTAAGGGGCTACTGATGTGATGGTGACAAATTCCTGTTGCACCCAAAACAGTTCAGAAGATTTGCCCCAAACTGAAAAGAATTACTGGCTCCAGTCTTCTGTGTACAATCTTTGGGGTGGGGGGGGATACTATTTGGAGGAAAAGCTCAACCCTTCATCTGCTATGTAGATGAACCTGGGATGACTAGCATGGACTGTCCCATAAACACGTCTCCAAAGGAGATCCAGCTTAATGCTGAAGGCCTGACTGAGCTGGTCATGCCACAGGTGGTTACAAAATTACTTCTTTGAATAAAAGAAACAAAAATGAAATGATTGATAAACATTGAAAAGAAAGTTTGGAACCACAGCTGCTTTTATAAGTGGATAGTAGCCTCCGCAGACCTTTCAACATCACAGTCATCCAAGATTATGCACCAACCACCGATGCTGAAGAGGCTGAAATGGACCATTTCTAAGAAAACTTGCAAAACCTTCTAGAACTGACACCAAAGAAAGATGTTCTTCTCATAATAAGGGACTGGAATGCTAAAGTGGGGAATCAAGAGATAAAAGGAACAACAGGTAAGTTTGGCCTTGGGGTTCAAAACAAAGCAGGGCAAAGGTTAATAGAGTATTGTCACGAGAACAAGCTAGTCATCACAAACACTCTTTTCCAACAACACAAGAGG